GACCCTAAGTGAAGGCAGGCCTGAAAATCCACGTGAGGCCTGTTTTCGGCATTTTTCCATATGAGGGTACTCAGACAGTTGCAGCATGTCAGTTGCTGTCTCTTATACACATCTAGATGTGTATAAGAGACAGGTGTGTATGTGTTTGTGTGTGTGTGTGTGTGTGTGTGTGTGTGTGTGTGTGTGTGTCTGTGTGTGTGTGTCTGTGTGTGTGTGCACCTTGCCTGAAGGGCCTATTGGCGGGAAGGCTGGAGGTACATGTACCAGGCACATACTTTTTTTCCGGGGGGTGGGGATTTTTGGAAGTTGATACCCTATATTCGTAACCGTGCGCTATATTCGTAAATAACACACATGCGTTTTGTTCGGGGGAAGACTGTAGTGGTTTAAGAAAAGAAAGGAAACTCAGTGCTAGAATGGTCCGCCACACTCTCTATTTGGCTTTCTTTCTTTGAACTACCAGTACACGCCATACACTGGCCGCGGGCCCCTTTCGGAGGCAGAAACACAACAAAGGCCGACGATGGAATTAATCAACGGCGGCCGGGCCCCGGCGTTTTTGGATGGGCGAGGAGTTTCTTTTCAGCAAGGCTGGGGCCATGTACTGGTTGCTTAAGACCTCCACTTCACCGACGGGCCTGGCTTTGTTGGTACCCCCATGAACTGTTGAAGTAAATACCCAAGTTCAAGTCCAGGGGGGAATTTATCAATGGCGGCCACGGCCCGACTTTTTGGGATGGGCGACAAGTTTCTTTTCAGCAAGGCTGGGGCCTTGTACTGGTGGTTTAAACCACCAGTACCTTTCCCCGCTTGAAAAACAAATACAGGCCGGTTAACGCGGCACTGTAGCTGGGGTCGGGCAAGGCCCGGCAGCGCGAAAGGGGAGGAAGCTGGTGGGACCAAGGGAAACGGGGAAATGGACTGCTAGCTGCCTGTTTGTTTATGCTGAGCTTGTGACAACACATGCACGGCTGCAGGCAATGAGAGGGGGAAAAAAAAAGAAAACAAGTTGTTTCAGGGCATTTTCAGGTTAGCAGTGCCCACAGTGTATCAGACCTGGAATGTGGGGTAATACATTAGACTCTTCCTGTCGATTTGCTCACCGGGATCACCAGTAGCCATCATGATGCTGAGGGCAACGACAAGATTTGAAAAAAAAAGAAACGAGAAAGGAACATTCCGAGGCATTTTCACGACAACAATTTTCAACCTGTATCGTACCAAAGAATCGGGAGATATACGTTCGAAACTTGAAGTCTGAAGAAAATACAAAAAAAGAGAAAAGGAACTTGAAGTTCAAAAGTCTACGTGGATCTATTAGTAGCATCATCAGAGCTCTTAAGGGACGCTGAGGCCGGTTCTCAGCAGGTTCGGATCTTTCATTCCTGGTAGACTGTGAGGACCCCGGCCTCAAAATTCTCATTGGTAAACCACGGATCAGATATTAAACTGATCAGAACAGATACTACACTTGATCTTAGCCAAAAGGCCGAAAAACCTTGGGCACTCGGGCTGTTTAAACTCCAAAAAAGGAAAAAAGAGTCTACGGGGATCACCAGAAGCTGCGACCCTCATCATGACGCTGGAGAGTACATAGAATGAAAAAAACAGGAGAAAATGAGAGCTCCAGGGCTTTTCCATGAGAGAAATCTCCACCATGTATGAGACCTACAAGGGGGGCGTACATTCATCCACGGGGAGCAGAGTGCCTTTCAGTGCTGAAAAGATCTTTTTTATTTTTCTTTTCAATCTATTTTTTTTTCCTAGTAAAAGAAGAATCTTTGCTCCATTGCTTTTTTTTTAAAATAAAAGAAACCAGCTTTCAATTAAGGCCGGGATTGCTGTACTCCCCGTGCGGGACGGGGAGGGATCCTGCAGTTCTTTTTCTTTTTCTAATCTTTTTTTTCTTTTTTATCATTGAAAACTAGGGCCGATGGGTTTCCCAGGTACCGCCCTTTTTTTTCTTGCATGCTGGTAGCTGATGCTTTCAGGCTCGGGAAAACTTGGCGCACAGTTCAGTTTTAGGCTCGGCATCAATAGCTGAGAAAGGCTCACGGATGGGCCTAGCTCTATTTGGTACACCCATGAACTGTTGAAATAAAGACCAAGTTCAAGTCCTGCTGCAATCACAGTACTTATAAAATTCTGAATTCCCTGGGGGCCGTCAGGTTAATGACGCTACCTCAAGGCGGTCGCGGGTTTTATAAAAAGGAAGAAGAGGCCTAGCTCAATTTGTAAGGCATGCAAGTGGCATTCAGTAGGTCATGGGCTCAAGTCCCATTGGTCTCATGTACGTGCTCTGTGCCTGCCACCTAGAGATAGACCGTTGGTCCTCCCAATCGGCATTAAGCGGTCTCTGCTGATGTTTGTAAGGGAAGGGGTAATCAGGGAGGTGCAGCAACTGGACACTCAGATGATGCTCAGTCCCTCCGCTACCGCCCCCTTGCCGGTGTCACCAACCTTGTCACTGTGGGCCTGGGCACAGCTCATTACTCTCTGAGGGGAGTACATAAAGCTGCTCGGGGTTCCCTGAAGGCAGTAAGCCCACCCTGGGCTGAAAAGGCCACCCTGTCAGTCTAGACAATTGAATTTACCTGGGCTGGTTAGTCTGATGATCATATCTCAAGCTCCTCGCCCGGCCTTAAGAAATGTGTAAAAAACCTCTACTTCTTTTTCGGCTTCTTCCTGATCTGTTCAGCCTGGCAATTGCCTTGGAAGCACTGGACAA